AAAATTTTTGAAAAATGTGCATTTATAGAGGGTGTGCATTTATGGAGGTAATTTTATTAAGAGTTCTATGTACTTGGAACCAAGCTTGACCATGCATTTAGAGAGAGAAAATATAATATGTGCATTTATAGAGGGTGCATTTAAAGAGGTCTCTCTGTATATTGTAATATATCTTTAGATTTAGAAATTAATTATATAATAATAAATTCTTATTTAATTAATAAAATCTTGAAAAAAACTTTACTTAACATTAAAAAAATTTTTTTAATTAAAATAAAAATTGTAATATTTATAAAATAAAATTATAAATCAATAAATAGATATTTATTAAAAAATTGTATTTTATTTTTGAAAATAAAAAAAAAAATTTTTTTTTATATCTATTTATATTTAATAGTGAATTATACATATATATATATATTTTATTTTTGATTGTATATTATAATCAAAATAAAATTTAAAATATTTACAATATTCAAATATTCAAATAACAAGTTTTTTCTCTATTCATTTCTGACTAAGTTCTTTATAACAATATAATATTAATTGTTTATAACACCTTATTTTTATATCATTTATTCTTAATAGACAAAATCAATTTTATCAAATTATTTTTTTATTAGCATTATTCTTATAAACCATATTTTTTATTTAATATTATAAGATAAAATAATTACGTATATTAGAAATAATAATAATAAACTTAAATATATAATTGTATTATAATCTATTAAAGAAAATATCTATCATCTTGCTTTTTAACAAGAATTTGATAAGATTAGGTAGAGTCCACGAACAAAGTATTCACTCTATAGTGGTTCATCGCTCATCTTCAATATTGTACGAAGCGGAACGTTTCATATATTCATTGCCTGATGATGTGAAAAGTCAAATTTATGATATTATTGGAACTACCTTAATAAACTCCGCTAACAGTACATAAATGGAAAAATTTTTTTTTTAACAAGTAGAGTAAGAGATAGAAAAATGCGATTTTTTTTACACGACAAAAAAAAAAAATGTATAAATTATCAAAAATTAGTAATACTACACTATTCTAAAAACCACAGAAGATATGGACGAGGTATTAAATTCATATTTCTACTATACGCATTAATCTTGAATGCGCGTAAGTGTAACTGTGGAGTAAATAATGTTCTTTTGAGCTCACAACTCAAGGAAGAGGTACAAACGAATATAATAAAAATAAATATTGTCAAATAATTCGTGAGTGTATTCTCTCAATTCTCTAAATTTCATTGATCGCGCCAATCGCTTTCTCGGATCATTCGTAGTGTTCGGCAATCTTGGAGAAGAATGGGTTCATGAATTCGAAGAAGGAGAATTGTGATGGTTGTGTACCGTATTTATACACGAATCGACTAGCCAAATATGATCCGAAGATCGCACGAACATATGGTTCGGGTATTCGTTCTAGTAAAGTGTCTAATCCTAATCTGTCTAGTAGCAATTGTGGGAACGCGTCCCTTAATACCGCCTTTCGTAAAGAAATGTTTTGCCATAGAGTAGATTGTTGCAGGTTTTCGTTTAGATCAATAATTGCAAGACTGAGTTCGTCCGAAATTATGGAACGCGGCTTGTTCGTTCTTCGATGTTCTCGCCATATACATTCAAATTCCAGTTCAGCGTTCTTCTCAATGACGCGGTGTACTTCTTTGATGTAGTCCTGGTAGAATTGAGGAATCACTCCATCCTTGACCATCATATTTTTCGCGAATTCTTCGTCGGTCAGAGCAAGAGCAGCCAATACTTCCAAGGAGGAGGATGTGACACCACCCTTGTTGGCTGAGGCGTCCTTGAAAATTATAGCACCAGCTTGCTCCAGTCGAATACGAGCTTCTTGCGTAAAGAACAAGTTTGCACCTTCGACAATATACTTAAATCTCGGTTTACCGTTCAAGTCCAATAACGCATTCACATTATTGAGGTCAACAGCCTCCGGTCTACCACCACAGGGAACAAAGAGATCGGCGGAAACAATATTCGAAACGTGGAAGTTATTACGGAACACCAATCCATCTTCAACAACGTGACCATCTGTTGAAATTGGTTGATCAATTGATTAGCTAATTGACAAGGCGACCCACTCTGAAAGATTGAATTGATACCTACTCGGTAATTTGATATTTTGCTGATCTATCAACACTCTAAAGCCCTGGGCTGTCAACTTGCTGTCGTCAAAGTGGGAAATCATCAGCCGAGCATTGGCTAATCTCTTTAGTTCCGTACGATCAATACCCTCGGGGTCGCACAACACACCACTACCATCAATGATAGCTGTTTAATATTGAATGTGCATCGGAATGAAGGAAAATCAATTAACGTCCTATGAAAATAATCATCGACGGCAGAAAAACGTGCGTACCGACTGTACGATCCTTCGAAATCTTAATTTCATTACTACCCAGATCACCGTCTGGTCCACCCGTTTGAAATTTGGTGATTTTTTCTTCCTTGAGACCTCGTTTCCTAAAAATACCAAGCACGTACTGATGTACGGATCGTGTGGTCATTCCGTAAAGATCATGAGGTATTCCTCCCATGGATTGACTCTTGCCGGTAGTAAAAGCTTTCCAGAAGGGAGCACCCCGAACTCGAGCGTGAGCACTCGCCCAATCCACAAAGGTGGCGGTTCCTTCGTCAGGGCCAAAGAACAAGATTTCGGGTTTTCGGTACAGGTCAACAATTTGCTAAAACGTCGAAATCGAAATTGCATGTAAGCGAAGTCCATCGCCTACGATGAATGATAAATTACGGTTAACATTACTACCAACCTCTTTGATTCCGGGTGTGTGGCCTGGGACCAAGAGATCAAGTATGGAATCGACGTATTTCTCAAAGGACACACGATCTTTATCTTGTTGGGTGATATCCAGAAGGATGGTACCTTTGGAGCCACCTTCGGGGATATCCTTGTTTTTCCGTTGCTGGGTAGCAGCCAAGGCATAGTTTTCATCAAAGAGAGTTCTCAGGTTGATACTGTAGGCCTCCTTGTTCCTGGATCGAATTATACGAATACCACCACGAGCCACGTCACGGAACCTTAGATGGAAACCTCGAAACTCCGAACCGATGACAAGGAACATGCCAAACAATTTTGAGGGGTATTCGATCGCGGGTAAGAAAGAGGGATCAAGCCTGAATGATAGCGCAACCTTGGTTGGCTGATAAAAGTTTGTTTTCAGGACATGCTTGTTGAAAATCAGGAATGATTCAAACACCATGAATTCGTGTTGGTTAGAAGTAGTCTTCTTGATTTTTTCCAGGAGTTCATCGTCGCTGAGGACGACATCAGTTTGTATACGTTGATACGACAGTGTTGGCCTGTGGAAGTAAAAAATGAATGACGGCCGTCAGTTTGGTGGTTTGGAAATATTTGCGACGATAGGAATTGACAAGTGGAGGTTACTTACTCGAGAGCAGCAGTGCGCGGATTAATGTAATGCACCAATGCAAAGTTGATGTAAAGCAAATGGATCAAATCAGGATACAGATTGATGATGTCCAGAATGTATTCACGAGTGAACGTATCTGAACGCAAGCGCTTCTTGATCTTGTTTAAAACCTCGGCATGCACCGGATCATTTTGATTCATTGCATTTGCAAGACTGGCATATTCATTACCGAGACGATTAAGGAAGTGTTGAGCAAAGATCCAACCCACGTAGCCATAGATTGCTTCTTGAACTGATAATTTGCCGGTTTTGAAAAATGACTGCAGCGGGGTGGTTGGCAAACAATAGATGAGGGAGGCTTCTTTGATAACTTGATGAATAGTGTGTTCGATCGGAGCGGACTTGGAATTAGGTAAAGGATTGAGGTAAAGACTCATGACGGTAACACCATTGGAAAATTGTTCTGAAAATGAAACACGGCACCATTAGAGATTTAAGATGGCGACGGAACGATGACAAGTTGGCGAAGGAGATTTTAAGAGTTCAGCAAAATCATAACGAATCAGGAGCGTACCAACATATTTTCGGGTAGAATAGAGATCATAAAAGTGGTAGAGGTCGGACATTGCGGAGAAAAAAGACTGCGTGCTGCGTTGCCTGTAACCAATCACAAGACGTCGTTCACGACTACCTTCAACCTCAAACATTTCGATCACGGGACCGGTTCTTTGAAGTACCGTTTCCATGACATTCTGATAAATTTCTAAGGTGTTTTCGGTCACCTTCTCCAAGAAGGTTTTGTCACCAACGAGACGAATGTCGGTTTCTTCCTCAGGGGATGGATCAGGCTTAACGAAATCACACTTGGTTACAAAATAACAGCGAAGTTGAGTGTTCATGGATTCCGATACGGTTCCCAAGGAACGATAGGTTTCCAAACGGTAGGCCTTGGCGCTAGTGCTTATGTCCAGGTATTTGGTGTCAATTCTGAATATGAACGGGACTTGGTTAGGACCCCTCCCAAAAAAAAATCGAAAGGATTATCGACAATTAAAGAGACAAGCATACCTTTTCTCATGTTGAGGACCTTGCAAGTCGGAAACACCAGGTCTCGAGGTGTGGACGTACACAGCAGCATCTTCGGTCTCACGTTCGAGATTTATGTCTAGGGCGTTCTCATTCTTTGTATATGCAAAAATCTTTGCGCCGTATAATGCCAATATATGATTGGCAATGGATTCGACGCTTTCTAAGCTAAAGTACATGTCATCGATGCCAAGATTCCTAATGGGATTGCATCAAATTGGAAAGAGCGCATGAAATGGGAGGTGAGAAAAAAAAGACAAGCATTGAGAATGTCACCGATACGACGGTTAACCGAGTCGACAGATAAGAAAACAGGAGAAAATAACGAGCTCGGGATTGAACTTACCCGTAAAACCATTTAACTTCGTTTTTCACGAGATCCTTTGGAATAAAACCTTTTTCTTCCAGGTAATCGCACACCTTCAACATTTGGTCGGCCTTGCCGTCAAAGATATTTTCGCTGTAACCGACCGAGTTTCGTAACATACTATTGGGAGGCAAGAACAAACCTTGAAGACGAAAATCCATCT